TCAATCAATGCCTATCTGTGGTTAATGGTCAATGGATACAAAGCAAAATAAATTAGCTAGACATCATAGGTCATATAGCATTATGGAAAGGAGTAATAGTGAAAAGGTTAGGGGGATTAGTTAATGATTAAATGTGATACATATCAGAAGTCATATAGCCGTTCAGGAAGGTAGGGATTAACAAGAGTGATTAGTTTTCTGAGGAAGAAGTGTGGAATTTTGCAACAATGTCCACAGGGTAAGGTAGGGATTACCAAAAAAAGAAAGGGGTTTAAGAGTAATCAGGAGGGAGAGAATCCAGGGAAGGAGGCTGTTGTAACAAAGGTTGCATGTGTATCCAAGGGGAAGCGGAAGGGATAATGGGGAAGGAGGGGGGATATTGCACCTGTAGCAGGGGGGAATGCGATGCATTGAGAGGGAGTGGGAGAAATGGGTGTAGGGGGAATATGAATAGGAGGAGTATGGATGTTGGCAGCTACTTTGGAATAAGGAATGGGAGCAAGGATGAAGGATAGATGAGGCATAGGTATTTTATCTTGGGTCATGATTAGATAGTTTTGAGCGTCTTCAAGAGTTTCAGCAGTGGAGCTGGTTGGGGTCGTCTGAGATGCAAAAGTTTTCTTATGAGGGAGAGAAGAAGAGACAGATGTTTGAGGAGTGGAGGGAGAGGTTGATGGATGAGAGGATGAGGTAGGAGAAGATTGGGTGGAGCTTTTAGCTTGTCCTATGCAAGGAAAATTTTCTGCAGCATCAACATCTAATATCATTAACATTGTATTCAATGCTCTCAGGTAAGGAAATGTGCCAGCCATCAAAGTTCATATAGCCTTATGATAAAGTAGTGTGACAAACTGGGTAAAAATGACTTTACGATTAGGATAAGTGGACAGAAGGAAAAGGAAAGGAGAGAAGAAAAGACCATGCAAACTCAGTTGAGGTGAGGGCCGAGGTCCAAGGTAGGGGTGATGCCCTAAATTGGGCCTCAGTCTCTATCTCCTAAGCTCCCCCACAACAACGAGGAGCAGGAGACAGGTATGTACCAGGGAAATAGTGCTTTGAGTGTTTGGATTTAGAATGTCAAAAGAATTTGACTAGATGTGGTAGAAATTAGATGAGGAAGAGATACTGGGGGAGATGTAGGAAAATCTTGGGAGGAAATGGGAGGGGCAGAGCTAAGAACATTATTAGAGTATGGAATGAAACAATGGTAAATGGTTACAATGCAAAAAATATGTTCTAGACATTAAAGGTCATATTGGAGGATGGATGAGGTGTAGGCATGTTCTCTTGGGTCATGATTAGATAGTTTTGAATGTCTTTGGTGGTTTCTGCAGTGCAGTCGGTTGGGGAGGTCCAAGAAACAATTTTTCTTAGGGGGGGAGAAGAGGCGACAGATGTTTGAGGGATGGAGGGATAGATTGATGCAGACGATGGGGTAGAAGATGGGATGGACAGTTTAGCTTGTCTTGTGTGATGAGTTAGGAGAGGACGAAGATGGGTATGTACCTGGGAGTGTTTGGAATAGTGGTGGAGTTTGGAGTGTCTGGAGTTAGAATGGCAAAAGAATTTGACTGGGAGAAGGTTAAAAGGTTAATCATAATATTCCCCATTTTTCTCCATAACATTTCAACACCCTACTTCAATACAGGGTAATTTTCTGGAATGGTATCGGTGGCTTCCTCTCACCTTCTAGTACACATGTATGTAGAAATTATGTCCACTGAAGCCCCCCAAACCCCCACACTCTTGGCCCCAATAGCAGGGGAGGGTATGAAAGATACCAGGTAAACTGTGAGGTAAAATATGAATAATATGCACAGACACAGGCACTATATTGTCTTATACAGGGGGCTACCCCATGTTGCTCCTCCTGGGTGGCTACTACCCCCAACTCCTACCAAGGAAAACAAAGAATAATCCACGTATCCAAAGCCAGGTAGAATGCATGACCAACATGCAGGAGTGCCGAGTCTGTCAAATACCCGACCTTGCCATGAACACGTGGAGGATTCTTCATTTTCCTGGGCAGTGTTTAAGGAGCAGCAGGAACACTGGAGGGGGGTTACAGGGGAAACAGCCTCCTCCACAAGACAATATAATGACAGACTCTGTGTATCTTATTCATATTTTATCAACACAATTTCCCCAGTTTTTTTCATGCCCTCCCCTGCTATCAAGGCCAAGAATGTGGGGGTTTGGGAGGTTCCATGGCATAATTTCATAAAGAATAAAGAGAATAAAGAGTGAGACGAATCCATCAATATCAAAATTGTCACAACTGGTTTGGCAATGCTATCCCAGAAAATTATCCAATGCAGTAAAAAATAGGATAAATCTTCCTCTGTTTTTGGCCAGTTGGAACATATTCAACTTACATTCTTTGCTTGAATATATCTTTTTGGAATATATGTTCTACAGTACAGTTTCATATATATATATATATATACATATATATATATATATATATATATATATATATATATATATATATATATATATA